ACATGAGGAGCTGGTTGGTGTATATGCTTCTCAGCTAGCAAGCCATCGATGCATCAACCTCTTTGTGCACATGATGGAACTTCGGCTCCACAGCAGGTGACTGAAATCCTTACAGTCGAAATAGTTTTGGTTTTTGAATCTGCATGCTACAAGATAAGGCGTATGGATTTGAGGTTCTTTATGTGATTTTATATCTACATCGAAGAAGGTTAATGGTGATCCTTTGACTAATCAAATTTGGCTGATGAGACAAATGTTCTCAACATGAGGATTTCTTTTTGGTGGATGTTAGAAGTTATATAATTCATATTGAATTTCAAAATGTTTTGCCATCTCATTTAACCACGTTTCCAGTTTCCTGATTTGACATCAACTGTGAAGAGATGACACCATCATATGAATAATCTTTTTGGTGGATGTTAGAAGTTATATAATCCGTACATAGTAGGTTCTCAAATATTCGGCACAATTCTGAAAAAGCAATACTGATGTATGTGCAGAGAGAGATGGCTTCTAGGGTTGATAAATGATATTATTATCATTCTCAATAATAATAGCATAATTATGATGATGAGTATGACAATGACAAAGATGAAAATGAGAATGACAATGGAAACAAAAACTGCATTGAGGGCATCGTCATTGCGTGTATTATTATTTATGTATCATCATGAAAAGAATATTACATATGAATCATGGAAAGACTAATAATGTTAATAAAATTGTACAAAAGTGAAACCCATTTGTACTTGATACTTTTTTTTTTGAAAATACAGTAATTTCTTCTTTATCAAAGGTCCGTGAAATGTGCGTAGATTACCTTTCAACTAATACTCTGTATTTACTAGCTGGTCTTGCTGCATTTTCGGGCATTTGTTCTTGCAATCCAAGTTTTCTGATTAGTTTTGCTTCTTGCAATGCCCAGTTTCTCTTGAATAAGGGAAATTTACTTCAGGGGAAAATTTTTAATACCTTTTTGCTTTTTCACAGCGTGCAAGTCAAGTATAAAATCTTTCTCTCTGCTATAGAATATTTACCATTTTCTCCCGACGGTGATTCAAGGGGCAGTTTTGAAGAGATTATTGAGAGGTACTTTTGCATTTACTTGATTTAATTCTTCAACACTCAAGCCTGAAATTCACATGATCTAGTTTTGTTTATGGTTATTACGTGTTTATATGATATACGTGACCAGTGTACTATCAAGATCACGGGAGACAAAAATTGGTAGTTCTGACAAGTTATCAGATGCTGTAGAACAACACCGCCTGCAGAGTCTTCAGAAAGCTATGGTTGTCCAGTGGCTTTGCTTTACCCCTCCTTCCACAATTGCTAATGTCAAAGATGTTAGTACTAAACTTCTTCTCCGAGCATTGGCACATAGGTAATAATTGTAGTTCGCTGTTGCTGTAGAACCTCCAATGTTTCATTTTAGTGCAAGGCACACTAGAGTATAAACCACACTCTAAAAAAAAGGGCTTAGAGGAAATTGGTTCAAACTATGGTGGCCACATAACTAGGATTTCATATCCTAAGTGTTTTTTTTTTGGCAACCGGGTTAGGAAATTGTTTGAAAACTTGAGGCATTTTGAAGCGAGGTGTCTTGGGAGGGCATGGCTCCTAGGCACACTTTCTGGAAGACTGACTATATCATGATAAATTATGAATGTTGATTGATTCTTGCAAATCTGGGGTGATGCTTTTGATACTTTATTGGAGTTACATTTGACTTTGAAGTTAATTGATAGTGCAAGTCCTTTTAGTATGGAGCAACGAAGCAACGCTGATCTCTTGCACTTTTCTGTAAACTAGTTCAAGTGTAGGTTGAGTGGCTATTTTATTATTTGTATGCCTACATTGTAATGGTAATATATGGATGTTGGATTTGGTCTATTGTTAATGCATATTTTCTTTTTCCTATACTGCTTCTTTCTACAGCTTTTGAATTTCAATCGTTTGCTGTTTTATAGCAATATCCTGTTCAGAGAGTTTGCTCTGATATCCATGTGGAGAATCCCATCAATTCCTAATGGTGCACACAAGTTACTTAGTCTTCTTGCTGAGCCTTTGAGGCAGAATTCAGAAACATTTAGTGCGTTGGAGGATAATGGTGTTCTGGAGAACTTAAAAGAGTTCGAGGATTGGGTATGCTTCCAATTCTTGTAATTACATGTTGGTCATTGTGGCTGTACTACCTGTTTTGATTACTGTGTACTTTCATCTAATAGAATTTATATCTTCATTAGAGTGAATATTTTGCCTGTGATGCAACATATCGCAACTGGCTCAAAATTGAGTTGGAGAATAATGAAGCGCCTTCCCTCGATCTCTCATTGGAAGAAAAACAAAGATCCATTGTAGCTGCTAATGAGACACTCGATTCGTCGTTTTCATTGTTACTTAGTATGCTTTATCTATTCTTTTCCCCATTCATAATTAGGAACCCCAGGCATACTACTCTTCATTGCTCACGATCTTTCTGCAAATAATTTTCCTTTCTGTAGGGAAAGAAAGTCCGTGGTTGGATTTCACAGAAGATTACGTCTATGAGTCAATGGAACCTCTTTATATTGAATTGCATGCCGTTGTCATGCTCTGTTTACCTTCAGGAGAATGTTTATGTCCTGAAGCCGCCACATGCACAACCTTAACAAGTGCCCTTTACTCCTCTGTAACTGAAGAGATCATATTAAATCGGAAACTAGTGGTATGTTTCTTAAACATGATCGCGTATAGTTTTTTTAATTACTTTTTGTGGCGAAGAATCAGAGATAATTTATTATTATTATTATTATTATTATTATTATTATTATTATTAAGTATTTGTTCGTTGGTGTATTCTTCTATTCTTTGTTTCATTTCTAAAGATAGACTCTAAACCCCAGATTTTCTTTCACTAGCCTATTATACTTTGTTCTCGAGATGAAGTAGGGTCCTTGCCCTTTCAAATTTAAAATTATGTAATGAAACCAGTTTTGGCCTGGCTGATAAAAGGAGAGTGAGATGCCCTATTATCCTCTGTTGATTACTTGTTACCATTTTTTTTTGGGTCAAATAGTTCTATGATTATTTATTATCTTTTCTTTTATTACAAATTTCACCTTATTTCTTAGTAGGGCTAAAAAAACCAGACTATTCAATTTTTTTTTTACATGTTCTTCGAATTTGCAGGTGAATGTCTCCATTGCATCTGGGGAAGGTTTCTGCATTAAGATTGTGCTTCGCTGTTTAGCAACACCAGGTGATGGGCTTGGGCACTGTGAAGGCAATGGTGGTGGCATTGTTAGTGGCATCATGGCAGCTGGATTCAAGGGTAAGAAGTACTATGCAACTTTGAGTACAGTATCCTACTTTTCAGTTACTAATTGGAGGTCTAGTGTAAATATGGGTTTTGTTCTTGTGGCCTTTGAAATGATGAAATATGAGATGTGGATATCTCTTAGTTCTTCACCCCACTTCTTAACAGAAAAAGAACGTGCATTGAACAAGTATGACTTTTACATGTTGTAGGTGAGCTTCGCGGTTTTCAAGCTGGAGTCACTTTGGAGGTTTTGCGTCTAGATGCATGGTGTTCAAACGAAGATGGCTCACTAGAATGCCCGGCAGCATACATCGTGCAAGGCTTATGTCGTAGGTGCTGCCTTCCAGAAGTTATTCTTCGATGCATGCAGGTAATACTTCTTTGAGGCTAGTGGACTTTATATTAGAGCTGCTTTTTACTTCTCATTAATTATTCAACCTAGCATCTACTTTCCATGAATAATCTGAGTTACACTCTCTACGGTATAGTAAAAACCATTTTGGGTTAGCATGGTTGTCATTTGGGCTGGTAAAATAGTGTGGTATGGGTAGCGAGGCATCTCGTGAGATTTGTCAAGATATGCAAAAGTTGGCCTGAACATCTTTGGATGAGTTTCAACGAGTTTTACATATAGTGCAAACTGCAAATATTTCCAATGTGGTTTGTTTCCTTGGATCAGCAGTAAAATGGAGAATTCTGGCATATGTACATAGATACTTTTGCGTACACGATTTTCGATCATTAGAGGATGAAATATTCAACAAGACATAATCTGGACTCTCTTTCTATTCATTTATGTCATCATATGCTCAGGTTTCTGTGGCTCTGATGGAGTTGGGTTTGGAACCGAAATGCCATGATCAGTTGATCGAACTCGTGGCGAGCTCTGAATCTGGGTTTTCTGACTTGTTCAGCCAGCAACAATTCGAGGTATCTCTCAGTTAACTTTGTCAGAATATAAGAAATCTGGTACCTAATGTTATGAGGCTTTGACATCACATTGTCACTTGCAGGAATTTTTGATACTTGAGAGAGAGTACACAATACGCAGAATGGAGCTTGGAGAGCCTTCTTCCTGACTTTGCTATATGGATCCGATATTCAAATCTCCGACCAGCAATTTGAACACATGATAGTTCTTTGATTTCTAATGTATGGAAATATCTGTTAGATAGGATGCTTTGTATTGACTTGGATTATTTGTTATCATCATCAATGAAATATAAGATTGAAAGCAATTCATAAATTCAATCGACCTAAGAAAAGGTTTTGATATCAAATGATGAGAAATTAACTCGGGGAAAAGTTCTAATTACTATAAGAGGTAAGATTCGAATTACTCCATAAGCAAGATAAGTAAAATTGATAATGTCAAATGTGTCATCTAAATTATATAGAATTGCAAAGAAACTTAGTTTTTAAGTCTATATTTACAAAGATAATATTCATGGCTTAATGTACACTCAGACCGAATATTGCCTCAAAATGAAACTCTTAACTTCAATGAGACATTTCAAGAGTTTCAAGCATATTTGTAACCTTTCATACCACCTTTGGTTACCAGATTGCATAACCATAATTAGTAACCTTAGGTAATCTAGGTATAATATCTATAATCAAACATTGATCACAAGGAACCAAAAAGTTTTAAGAGCAACCAAATTATACACATGTCTGGTTTTAAGGTTGTAAGTTCTTTTATTTCGGTCTTGTGTTTTCCAATAAAGCTTCCGACCAAAAGGCCACCGTAATTGACAAGTAGAGGGAGAGAGTGGCAGCAAAATACCCATTGCACTGCAGAACTTTCCCCATGTAATCGGACTGAACCGAAATCGCGCCGCCAAATCCATTCCAATCTCTCTCTTCCCCTTTCCCCACAATTTCCTTTTTCATCGATCCCGCCCCGTTAGCGTTAGAACATCATAAATTATTACAAGATTAATTAAACCCCATTTTGGAAAATACAAATGGGCGTCTCCTTCAAAATCTCGGTAAAGGGTAAAAGGTTTCGTTCAAAGCCGTGTATTACTCGATCCAGGAGCACTGCCGTTGATTATGACGAATTTAAGGATGGGTCGAGGGTTTTATCGAAGAACGAATCTTCTCCTGCTCCAAAACTTGACGTAAGTGCTTCCGATTTTGCTTTTCCTTGTTCTTGATGTGGAAATCTGATTTCAGTGCATTTGGTTGTTGTTTAGAGGTATTTTGATTTTGTTCCTTTGTTGATGAATTCAATGATCCTCCTTATTTTAATCCCTAAACTTTCGTACTTACATCGTTTCAGTGTTCGTATTTTCAAATGATGTTTTGTGTTGGCGTCCAACAATTTGTAGTGTTAAACACAAGTTCATGTGATGGGAATCAAGTAGATTTAGTAGACATTTATTGTGAGATCCCATATCGGTTGGAGAGGGGAACGGAACCTTTCCCTAGTAGACGGGTTTTAGAAACCTTGAGGGAAGCTTGAAAGGGAAAGCCCAAAGAGGATAATATCTGCTAGAGCCAGACACAGGGTGGTGTACTAGAGAGGACGTTGCGAGGAGAACAAAACATTTTTTATAAGGGTGTGAAAACCTCAACCTAGTAGACACGTTTCAAAAACTTTGAGGAGAAACTCGAAAGGGAATGCCCAAAGAGGACAATACCTGCTAGCGGAGTGCTTTGGTTGTTATAATGGTTTCAGAGCTAGTCAACGGACGGTGCGTGACATTGGTTGGAGTAGGGCTAGACTTCTCCCTAGTAGACACGTTATAAAAACCGTGAGGAAAAACCCAAAGAGGACAATATCTACTAGTGGTGGTTTTGGACTATTACAAATGGTATTAGAACCAGACAACGAGCGTTGTGCCAACGAGGACTCTGGGTGTCACAATCGCGGTGTGACTCTGGCTTCAAGGGGAGTGGATTGTGAGATCCCACATCGGTTGGAGAGGAGAACAAAACATTTCTTATAAGGTTGTGGAAACCTCTCCCTAATATACGCGTTTTAAAAACCTTGAAGGGAAGCTCGAAAGGGAAAACTCAAAGAGGACAATATTTGCTAGCGCTAGGCTTGAGCTGTTACATTTATGTAGAGTTTAAGGATCAATATAGATCTTTCGAAATTCATAGTTCTAAATGAAAATGTTTTCACAGTTCAAATACCATACTGAAATTTAAAACCTAACAACCATGATGGTGATGATATAGTGGATTGCTTGTTGTTGTTATTTCAAGAATGAAAATTATACCAAAACTTCTAATGAGTTTGTATAGCCTAAAGCAAGTCAGTATGATATTAATTCTGTTTACTTGGTGTCATAATACACTTGTTCTTGATATAACAGAGTGAAGAAACTGAAAGAAGTGGGGATGTAAATGGGGTGACTGCGTCTTTAAATCATCTAATTCCAGGTAATTTCTATCGACTTTAGGCGTTATCTTATTAGATATGGATTCTTTATGAACAAATGAGTATTGTTCTTTCAGAAAATGGAGTTTCCTTCACATTAAACCTGTTTCGAGATGGATATTCTATCGGAAAGCCATCAGAGGTCGGTTGAAAATAGCATTACTTCATTTGAATGGCAACTAGGAAGGAAAATACATCAAAAAACTAATGCTTAGAATTGTAATCATGTTCTTCAGATTGTGCCTACGCACCCAAATACTCTACAAGACAATTCAAAGTTGTTACTTCCTTATGACAGGAAATCCGAAAACTTGTTTTCTGTAAGTGTCATCGGCTTTCCTTCATATTGCTTCGTTTATGGCATTGTAGATATCGACTAGTTTACGAGACTGTAGTTCATGTTCTTATTTAAAATCGATTACTTGCTGCTACGTAATTAGTAGGTTCTATGTTGAGGAGCCTTTGTTTCTTCTTTCTAGTTATCCTTTTTTTATTGTTAATACGAATTTTATGTTTACGTTTTATAATATAAAATGGATCATCTCTTGATATCGTTTGCATCATTCTCTTTCTTTTGGGATCTTAAGGTTTTCAAAGTTCGGTAGAGGCGTTCTTATTAAAAGAAAACTTATCTTTTCCAGGGTCGGAAGACTTCGAAACAATTGGTATTGAACAGATTTCTTGTCTTTAGTTTAGCGCTTTTTAAAATCTTGAATAAGCATTTTTTGTGAGATCCCACATCGGTTGGGGAAGAGTGTGGAAACCTCTCCCTAGCAGACGCGTTTTAAAAACCTTGAAGGAAACCCGAAAGGAAAAGCCCAAAGAGGACAATATCTATTAGCGGTGGGCTTGGGTTGTTACGTTTTTTTCTCCCTAAGAAGTCCAAAGGGTGAATCTAACTTCCTCAGGGTATTTTGTGGTGAAATCGTGCTTTTAGCGAGGCCACGAGCATGGAATTTTCAAGAGACGCTTCTATTTCATCAGTTTTCGAAGTTGTTTCATCTTCATTAGTCACGTCCCTTAATGTGTCTAACAGGCATTTTCTTTTGTTCTTTATTATATGTGCTTAAAGGCTATTGAATGTGGCCGATTGCCTGGAGATATTCTTGATGATATACCTTGCAAATACGTTGATGGCACAATTGTTTGTGAGGTGAGTTTATTTGAATTCTGAATTTACTTTTAGGAAGCCTAAAATATGGTTAGGATGGTTTAAACTATGTGTATGTTCATATGTTATGTATATTTTTGGTTGATCGAGCCCTTCGTACTTACGTGTCTATAAAGGGTTAACCATCTTGGTTTTTTCTTTTGACAAATGTTTCACCGTCTTGATGGGGTCGACTCTAGGAAATCTTTGATGATCGGTATAAAGGAAAAGTTAGAAGTAACAAACCCCACACTAACAAAAACAATATACAATACGGAAAGGAAATCATCCTAAAAGGGTAAAGTTTTTCTTATGAGAAATGATGCATAAAGCTATTAACACGAGCGAAAACCTACAGAAAGGTATACCCTACACGACTCGACTCTATTTTCGAAAGACAACTAATCCCAAAACCATCTGTTTATATAGTGCATATATACTTACGATTTCTAGTAAAAGATTTTCTATCTTTTCAGATGGTATCTCATTTTTCCTAGGAATGTAAAGAAGTTATTGGACATGGTCTTAACGTACCACTCCTTCAAGAACGCAAAACCTTTGCTATGGACAAACCTCATTATGACTCTCTTTTGGAATCTATGGAAAGAAAGAAACCAAAGAGTATTCACGGAGAAGACAAAGCCTAAAGTTCTTTGAAAATGTTGTTTACCACGCTATTTCTTGGTGTAAATCGTCTAATGTTTTTTCTTTCTGTAGTTGTAGCTCCCTCGTAAATTGAGAAGGTCTTTTGTTAGCATAATGGATAAACGCATCCCTTTCGAAAATTTCAAACATCAATAAAATTGTCTATTATATAAAAAAAACATAAATTTATCCCGATTCTATTTATCTATGGTTTCATTGCAACTTTCCAGTTCATAATTTTAGAATTGACTGTAATTATGTTCTTGTAGGTGCGAGATTTTCGTGGATGTCCACCCGAACAGGGGCCTGGTGCTCGATCGACTGCTAATGTCAATAAGATACATCTTAGGATGTCCTTGGAAAATGTGGTAAAAGATATTCCATTAATTTCAGATAATTCATGGACTTATGGCGATCTGATGGTATGTACGAACGACTTCATAATCTATAACGAATAATTTTAATAACATTTCGAGGACGTGATACATCTTTTAATTTGTTTTTAATACTCAAGGAAGTGGAGTCCCGGATTCTTAAGGCGTTGCAACCGAAACTTAATCTTAACCCTGCTCCTAAGTTCGATAGGCTCTGCAGCATCCCAGTTCCTATGAAGGTGATGCAAATTTCTGATGTTTTATGAAGATCATATTTCCACTTTTTTATGTGTTCAACATTTATTGTTGCTGTCTGCAGCTCAACGTTTCTCATTACGCTGAGCGGAGGAAGCGATTGAGACAGCTTTCGGAAGTATCGGTCTCATCTAATAGTAGGTTTGAGAAGAAGATTTGCATAGACAGAGTGTCTGAAAGTTTTAATACCAGGTTGGGAGATTCAGGAGCTGTTTCTGGAAATTTGAGTTTAAATGAGATGTTATCGTCAAGACCAAAGAACTTTACTACTTTGGATGCTTCTCTTCCAGCACAACCGGCGGTATCGACATCTCAATCTAGGTATTCCGTGGGCAGTGGAACTCCAAGAGGTATGCTCGATCAAGTAGCCGGGTCAGTTCTTAATCCGTCTGGTGTTTCCCCTACGGGGCAAGAAATGATCTCGTATGCAGATAATTTGAACGCTGATGTCTCTCTTCATGGAAAGAGGGAAACTCAAGATGGGCAAACGTCACCCTTGTCCCGTTTTAATAAGAGACCAAGGCCATCTCTTATGGGCGTCGATGGAATTCAATCGCACCAATTTTCTTCGATGGACGGCCCCCATGGAACTGACATGAATTGGAAGAATATGTTGCAACAGCAAGAAATAGCAAGAGGTATTCAGTACTCAAACCCAGGAGTTCAAAATTTTTCTCAGCAGATGCTTGAAGGAGTCCTGAATCAGGACTTCGTGCAAATACCGTTTGCTACTGGACAATCGGCTATACGATATGTAGCCAAGGAAGAGCAGTTTGAGTCAGAAAAGATGGATGGACCTGACCTCGGTCGAAGCAAAACCGATATGCAAATGACGGAAACCGAAAACCACCTAGATCCTCAGCATCCACAGGTTCAGCAACGACCTCCACAGCAAGCATTTGTGAGATCTAATCTCTCTCAGCCTCCTTGGAATAATTTTGGTCAGCATGTGGGGAAGGTAGCAAGAAAGGAGGACCAAGTATCGAAAAGAAAATCAGTTCAAAGTCCTCGTGTGTCAGCAGGAGCTATGGCTCAACCATCGATGTCGAAATCGGGGGAAATCTCTAGCGGTTCATGTGGACCACAGTATGGAGTGCCTGCAAATATTTCAGCACAAAAGGATAAGCCTGGCATTATAGCTCATATTGGAGGAACTCCATCCTTGACTTCGAGTGCTAATGATTCGATGCAAAGGCAACATCAAGCCCAATTGGCTGCGAAGCAACGATCAAAATCCCTCCCGAAAACGCCAGTAATGAGCGGAGTTGGATCTCCTGCTAGTGTTGGTAATATCAGTGTTCCCCTGAATGCAAATAGTCCTTCAGTTGGAACCCCACCTTTTGCTGGTCTAACCATGATTGAAAGATTCTCAAAGATTGAAATGGTGACTGCAAGGTAAAGTTCGGCTATCCACCTTTACAAGGTTTTGGCTTATCATATGCTGTACAGGACGTTAACACATTTGTTTTGTTGTTTAATCGAAACTGACTTCAGGCATCAGCTCAACCTTAAAAAGAGTAAGGTCAACAACTATCCTATCCAAAAAACAAGCACGTTTCCAGCTCACAATCTTGCGACCCATCTGGCAAACTCATCGATTAACGACGACTTAAAAGATGACGTTTGTGCGAGGAAGATGTCAAAGTCCCGAACTGGCGGCAGCTTAAATGCCTGCAAAAGAAGGGTGTTAACTTTTATGCTGCAAGACCGTATACCTCAAGGTCTGTAACTTTGTAAGTTTTCAGATAGTTAGTCTTATGTTTAACTCTGCATTTCATTTGAAGCTCTTCTTCACATTCTTCTGCTGTAGGAATGGTTCCATATGCTACTAGGTTACGATGTCGGGTAATCCTGTCGGAAAAGCCTAACGATGGAACGGTAGCAATTACCTACGAAGATATAGATGATAGCATTTTTTTTTATGTTGAAGATCTTCTTCCGACATTGCCAAATACTGTAAGCTATCATGTTTTGCAGTCAACAAATTTGTGTTCTGTTATGGTACCACATTTTAAGTAATATCCTTCTCCTATGGACTATAATAGATCATAAGGAATAATTGACAAAGTAATTGGATTATGTGCTTCAAGAGGAGGCCACGAAAACAACCCGTCTCCTAGAAACTTCGGCTTATACCTCTTTGAATTTGACCCTACCGAAGTAAATGGATCGTTTTTTTTTTCCATTTTTCGTTTAAGTAGGCAACTAAGGTAAACATGATCTGCACTTACCATTGATTCTAAGTCTTGGGAGGATTTGGCTCTTGTTAAAGTTTGCTTTGCCCGGAAGGGAAAGTCAAAAGAGGACAATATATGCTAGCGATGGGCTTGGGCTATTACAAATGGTATCAAAGTCAGACATCAGGCGATGTACCAACGAGGACGCTTGTTGACACTTGGCCCCGAAGGGGGTGGATTGTGAGATCTCACATTGGTTTGAGATGGAAACGAAACATTCTTTATAAGGGTGTAGAAACCTCTCCCTAGCAGACACATTTTAAAAACCCGGATTTGGGCTCAACCTTGCTAATATTTCTCGGTTTCAACCACTGTAGGTTAGCTTAGTGGTTCATATGCGCCATGAATTCTAGTCAGGTAGCTAACTACAAAGGATTTAATATCATATCGTATGAGTTTTTTTAACACCAAATGTAGTAGGGTTAGATGGTCGTTCTATGAGAATGGTTGAGGGGCTCACAAGCTACCTCGAAGTTACGAAGATACTTGAGCACTGCTTGCTAAAATGTTTCTTTTGGATTTCTATGAATACATGCTTTCATTATAAGCTATAAATGTTGTGAATCTGGTGTCTATATGGCTATCCCATCTATCTGTTCTGACACGAGTATGCATATGTTGTACGATACAGCTTTCGGCAGATTTACTTGCGGAGCAATTATCTTCCTTGGTATGAATCTAAAATTTTAAGTAGTTATCAAACATGCCTTTAAATTTTTGGATGATGCCCAAGGTATAAGATTTGTGTAATTTTGCAGATGGTTCATGAAGGGTATGATCTTATTGAAGATAATATTCAAGTTAGGCCAACCCGGATGAACCCGTCCCACAGCAGTCATTCAAATGCTGCTGGTCTTCCTCATATTAATCCAGCAGCGGAAATGCAGAGTTATGGAGAAGCTTTTCCGGGTCAAGGGTCGAATGAAGTTCCGAAGCCGAGCATTAACAGTAATGCGTCTCTGCTCAACGCCTCCCATAGTCTTCTAGGAAACACAAGGATGTTGCCTCCTGGAAACGCCCATGCGATGCAGATGTCTCAAGGAATTTTGGCCGGGGTTTCATTACCCGCAAGGCCGCAACAGATGGAAGCAGCCCAATCTTCGATGCAACAGCAGCTGCAGCAATCGCCACAGGCATCGCAGCAGCAGAATCAGCAAAACCTGATTCAAACACAGCAGCATCAACAGTTCCAGAGATCGATGATGCTTGGAACAAGCCAGCTTTCACATTTGAATGCCATTGGTGCGAATTCGAATGTTCAATTGGGTACTAACATGGCGAACAAGTCATCCATTCCGCTTCATCTATTACAGCAGCAGCAGCAACAATCACAGATGCAGAGGAAAATGATTATGGGAGCTGTGGGTATGGGCGGTATGAACAACAACATGGTGGGACTTGGAAGCCTTGGCAGTTCAATGGGTGTAGGAGCCACCAGAGGAATAGGAGGAACTGGACTACAAGCACCCCCCATGGGTTCTATTCCAGCCATGGGCAATGCAGGTCAAAATCCAATGAACTTAACCCAGGCATCTAATTTTAACAACACTCTCAGTCAGCAATTTCGAGCGGGAACGTTAACAGCAGCGCAGGTACAACAAGCTGCTTATAAATTCAGGATGGCGCAGAACCGAGGCATGCTCGGTGCTGCCTCTCAATCGACAATAACTGGAATCCCAGGAGCAAGACAGATACATCCAAGCTCAGCTGGACTTTCAATGCTTGGACAAGCTCTGAACCGTGCTAGCCTGACCCCAATGCAACGAACAGTAGTACCTATGGGTCCTCCAAAGTTGACGCCGGGAATAAACCCGTACGTGAATCAGCAACAGCAGCAAATGCAACCGCAGCAACAGCAACAACAACCGCAGCAACAGCAACAACAACCTCAGCAGCAGCTGCTGCAACAACCTCAGCAGCAGCAGCTACAACAGCAGCCTGAAACAACACCACCACTTCAGGCTGTCGTTTCGCCACAGCAGGTAGGTTCACCTTCAACCGTGGTGGTCCAACAACAGCAGCAGCAACAGCAGCAATCAGCTAGCCCACAACAAACTATTCAGAAAACTCCGATGAGCCCGCAGCAAATGAGCTCGGGTGCAGTCCATGCCCTTGGCGCTGGCAATCAGGAGGTTTGCCCCGCTAGCCCGCAGTTGAGTTCACAAACCCTTGGTTCAGTCAGTAGTATTGCAAATTCTCCCATGGACATGCAAGGTGTCAACAAGAGTAACTCTGTAAATAATCCATGAAGTAGAATTGTTTGAGGCTATTAACAATAGAAGTAGATCCTTGAGAACTTCTTATCAAGATATGTACAGTTTAACGGACGAAAAATATTTGTAGATTTGTTAGGAGCTTAAGAAGGGATTGAAACTATGTGGTATTAAATTTTGTCGGGTAACGGAAGAATAGAAAATAAGATATATATATATATATATATATATATATATCAAGACTCTATTCATAAATTCTTAACACTAACTTTCTTAAGGATAAATTGGTAACACTAATCTAATTTAATCAGGTAAGTGGACTTATTATCAACGTGGTTATATTTGATGTTGACATGTGCCACATGGTTGTGCACGTGTCATATATATTAATATGTTGAATTGTTTGTGGATCGATATGCTTATGATATGTTATGTATATGTTATAATATGTGAATTGCAAGATAATACTTACAGTACGATATGTTCAATGATATGTTTGAGATACGATACGAGATAAGATACGAGAATGATGCACTAAACGTAATATAACGACAGGAGTAAGATAGGTTCATGGAACGTTAAGGTTATGATTCATATTGAAGTGCTATGGATATGAGATATTAATAAAAACGATAGAGTCATGCTCAATTGATAAAAGAATACAATTAAGTTATGGATAGACAGTGATAGGATTATGATAGATTGATAGAACGATAGCGTTAAGATAACATCCCTGTAATGATATGACTAAGGTACATTTATGTAAAGATATGACTGTGATAGGTATACGAACGTTAAAGCTATGTTAAATTAGGGGACAATATAACCAAGAAGTGTTTATGTTAAAAGCACATAAAGCTATGTTATGTCTCTCAAATTGGATGTATACAACATATGCCTCCAACTTTTCCTTCTAATATAAGAGATACAAACAAAGAAGAGGAAGCATGCGTTACCATTGCTTTCATGCCTAGTTGGATTAGTAATCTTCCTAGGATGGTGTATTCCATATTTCCACTCTAACTTCCCTTCATAAAAGTGATCAAAGTAACCACCAATGCGCTTACCTTTTAATGCCAAAACAAAATTCAATAGAACCCAAATTCTATCAGAGCATATACACATACTTACCGACAAAGCCGAGCATTTTGATGCATCTGATGATGATGATGATGATGGCGGCCCAATCTTTCTTTCTCCCTTCCGGCAAAATCTTGTGCCATTTCATGCGAGAATTTACAATTCTCCCCATAGTGACACCTCCCTACGGCATAATAACGGCATCGTTGTTGCTTGTAGCTTTCTTGCGCATGTTGGTTCACTTTAGGATAAAGATTCATTTGGCCCATTGCCAGTCTAGAAGCAGGATGATCAGCACTGTAAATGCTGGGATGTATATTGTAGCTTACTGGAGGAGGATCGGCTTTCATTTGGGGTTGGCTAAAGTAATTGTTTTGCACTGGATTCACCATGGGCTGAAGTTGATATGGCCGTCTACTATGATCAATGAACACATCTGATTTTGTTTGCTTTGTTGGGTTATGTTGACGAGGTTCTCCTGAATGACCGAACAAAGGTTTTTCCTGATGCGGATGAACTGCCTTTCTCGCATCAACGGATAACTTCACCATGGTTTCAGCTAACATCGTTCCTGCTGAAGATAGATTTGACTTGGAGGGATTCTCATTAAATCCTTCTCTCCTTGATTTCCTGAAGCAAAGAGAAACCCGAACAGTTCATCAAACTATTGTCTTAACCAAAATAGGAGTACAGGTTGGTTGTTTGTTTGTTTGTTTGATACAAAATGATAATACCTGTTTTCATTGTGCGTTTTTCTTTTTTCTTTCTCTACTACACGTGCTTCCCTAGTTGATCTTGCAAGTGATCCCCTAGCATGTTTTTCCATTAAAACTTTTTGCCTTTCTCCTTCATCTTCCCAAGTCTACAGTTTGACAACATGGGTTATGTTAAAGAACAGTTGAAACTATAAGAGAAAGGCCCCAAAGGAAGAAAATATGTAACAACTGTAACCTGTCTCAAAGTCTTCATCCGATAAAGATTTCGACCCTTGATTAAAAGGGGATGAAGTGGAGGAAGTGGTTTCTCACCCTTACTCCACAATACTTCAATCTGGCTCAGAAAATGAAAAGGGAAAGGTTTGTATAATAAATACTGTTGAAAGGTAACAGAACTCAAGAAGACAACTACTAAGAAATAGCTATGGTTCATCATTAGTCGACAATTAACATACTTGACTTTTAAAAGTCACCTTGGTGATAGCAGAAAGTAGAGTATTAGATATATCTGATTAAATAATTAAATAACATATTTTGCCGACTTCCAATGACTAAATTGGATGTAGACAGTCGATGAAAGTCAAATAATCTTGCTATTGAGCAGTGGTTCCAGCAATATTATTTGCAATCTAGATCATCTGACAGTTCAAGTACTATATTCTTCGCATGGTTACGACTTTTTTTCCACTGTTTGTGAAAAATTTACTAAGTTATGCACTCTGCTCACCGTAAATGTATGTTGTTGTTTAGAAGCACCATAGCTTTCTTTCACAATGCGACCTGCAACAATTCTTGTTCCACACGAAGGACCTATGGAGCTCCTAGATGCTATATTGTACCTGAATGATGAATATCCCAATAAAGAAACCATCCATTAAATCAATTGCTCCAAGTAAGATTAAAACCTCTTATCATTCTCACGGATAAAATTAGTTGTTGAATTATTGGTCCTCGGCTCGTTATAGAAATCAAGGAGATTAATGGCTACGTAATTTAGATACATTAAATTTAAATGCTTACATCTCGTATACTTTTTGTTCAAACATAACAACATCACCCATGCAAGCATCACCTGTATCAAACGAATATCAGAAACGACAGAACAGAGATATTTATTATCAATTCAAGTATATTGGACACAAAAAGACGAGCTAGAAGAATTTCTTAAGAATGCTTGGTCCGGCAGACAAATCAAACAAACTAAAAGTAAAGTTAATGATCAATCATCAAAGCACCTCTCGTCGATAAAAAAAAAAAAAGCAACGTATTAAAATGAGAATAACAATTGTTCTAGATGTTCAAACAGCCATAGAATCCGCACTATGTAACTGAGATCATACCTTTACAATTTACTGTAAAGCTATACTCTGGATATTTCTTCTCCCCTCCACCATTTAAAATCCTGAATATAATTGAAAAGGAAAATGAAAAGAAATTTGCCGTTAGCCATAGACTGACTCCTTTTAAAACCATTTTTATCCTACCATACATACAATACAAACTTACTCCAAATGCTCGTTGATACGCTGAATGAGTACATCTTTGGTTCCTGTTAGTCTCAATCCATTCTTTCTTAGATAAGCCTTGCATTGCTCTACCTTGAGTTTCTCTAGCTTACCAGCTGGGCTCAAAGGATGATAGAGAAATGTGTTAAGTGAGGAACAAGGAGAGGCTAAAGAACAATGTCAACTTCCGTTTTCAGAGTCCATTTGGTAGAAAGAACGGAAGAAGCATTTTCTAGTGTTTTTACTCCTCTCAACTAATGGATACATCCAAGGAGGAACGGCAATACGTAGGTGAAAGAAAACTTAACTCTAAACTGGACACAAATTCATAAAACTTCAACAATACCTAACGAATAGAGTACATCGATTATTTAAAAGAAACGCAAAAGGCGGAAAGGAAAGAAGCTTATAGAGTTCCGATTTCTAATGGCTTTCTCTGTTCGTAAATGAACCAAATAAGAAAAATTAGGTAACCATTCAAAATCTTTGACTGACCTTTGATGATCGATAGCACTTCACTAATATCTTTTTCATCATTTTCATTTAGATTCAAAACCTCTGGCGCTACATCATCTAAGTATGCTTGCGCGATCAGTTCCCTATCTTCAACTTCACTGCAGAATGCAAACAACTTAATGAACTCGAGCTCTACATCGATTAATCAAATATAATAGTTGACCGCAGCGAAAAAGATTCGAAATCAGTTAAAAGATTCAAATACTTACGACGGCTTTGATTTCTTCCTGATCGAAACCTTGGAATTGGTATTATCTTCCTCAAAGCCGTAACTCGGATCACATTCCGAATCATCAGAATTACACTGGTCGTCCGATTCTCCATGCTCATCGATAAGTTCTTCTAGTTCGAAGCGACGCGGATCAGTAACAAAATTCCCAGAGAACGCCATCAAAATATATTACTTCTCCGTTCGATACGGTTTCGGATGGGCATCGTTTTGCTCCGCCCTCAAGCGGCGCTATATAACGGGGAAATGAATTAATAAAAAAGAACATTAAGGAAAAATTTCAAATTGCAACGGCTAGTAGCCTAGGACGAAGGCAAATGAAAATTGGGCCTGATCCGGTTTTGGGCTTTACAACAAAGACCGGACCGGAATCATGGGCTTGGTAGCACATCAGCCCATTTCAGAAATATTAATAAATGACCTACTTATTAAGTTTTATATATTTTTTTTATATTTATGTATTTGTATATTATTGTAAATGATTTTGGAAAATACTGAAATTAATTTGAAGATGATTGATTGCTTTATCCAATTTTTTGCCCAAACTACTTAGAATAAGAAACTTGAACAATACAATTTATGAAATTGCTCTCTTAGTTAGCGCCCTAACCCGAGCCCTCATGTCCGCTCTTCTCCGCCCACAATCCAAGAAGTTGGCTTTGCCAACACAACATTAGTGTGTCCCCTTAATTCTATGCTGACTCCGTCCCCAAGCTAGATTTTTGGGAAGCTCATTTCCACCATGCTCACAGTCTGGCTAGTCTACTAGTGGTCGTGAAAATTCTCTCAAGGAGTGGTACAAACGTCGATGATATCATCATAATCTCTCTTTTCATACCGCTAGGGATGCTTAAAGCCAATTTACCAACTGGCCTGTGCTTTCATCTCTCTTAGTGTGACAAACTCTGAGTGTTTCCGAGCTATGAAGCTTACACCCATTCACATTATCTCGATTATCCTACTACTAGCTTTTAAAAGATAGGCCATCTACTTTTACCTAGTCCTTTTATAGGAGGCTTTTGGCCAAAAGCTTAGAACCTTAACCAGGTTTGTTAACCCTATGGCCAACACGGAGTGTTTCCGAGCTATGAGGCTTACACTCATTCGCATTATCTCAATTGTCCTACTACTAGCTTACAAGATAGGTCATTTACTTTTACCTAGTCCTTTTATATGAGGCTTTCGACCAAAAAATTAGAACCTTAACCAAGTTTGCTAACCCTAAATTACATCGATAACTTACAAGTTTGACAATATTCTTATTTGAATCCCTAGCTCGAACAAACATGAGCCTACTTGAACAAAAAGCTCGAACAAACATGAGCCAACTTGAACAAAAAGCATTCGCCCTCAATCAAGAGTTCAAACTTAAAAATGAAAAAAAAAAAATTGTGTCGAGGGATAGAAGAAAAAAAATGAACATTTTTAGAGTTCATCATCTTACACTTGTTCCTTCTCATTCTGAACAGCCAAATTTCACAAAAATTTTCTTTTTCAAGTAGCCTACGGGAGAGAGGGACTCGGTTCAGACATACTTTTCAAACCGTACGGCATCATATACAAGTACGAGTAAAGGCGTGAAAATCTGAAAGACATAAATCTTTTAAGTTCTCAACCTGAATTATGCCAAAGAAAGACTAATATAATAAATATAACGGTATTTTTTTTAATGTATAAAGAACAAAAAATGTAGTATATTGGGAGGAGGTAACTAAAATGTGAATAAACATGTTTTTCTCTACTCAATCTGGATTACTAGGTTTAACATCGCTCTTACAGTTGTACAGGCAGCACCGCCCCCACTTGGAGCTATATAACCAAAAACACTATTTTTCAGTTACCATCTTAGCCATTAAGTAAATCTAGAAGTCACCTGAGCCCAGTTTCACGTCTCTGATGTCTGAGCCGATTAAGCCAAAGGTAAAAAGCAAGAGAAGCCTCAAAATGAGTCAAAGATTTATGTGGAACGGCAACCAAATCACCAGAGCTTTGATTTGAACCAGAATAGGAGGAATACGACTCCGAACACGATAGCAACGGGAGCCCACTTCCGAATTAAAGCCTGGGTTCGAAATTTTTAAGAAATGAAAAATTAAGCATTAGAACTGTCAATTAAAATGAGGTCTTCAACGAACTTTCCATGTAGAAAGCATCCTAAGAGATATACTGACAATGTTTATGAGGTCAGTTAACAACAAATCATGCACAATTTTGGATTACAGTCCAAATGCTCGTGAAACTGGAAAATTTTGCAATAAATTTCTGTTGAAGATGTCGGTCTGTATACGAGACCTCACAACAGGATAAATCATTGATATTTATTTATTTATTCAGAGTATCTATACTACCTTCAACCACCACGGGTCAGATTATAAGGCACCAAGTGAAATAGAATAAAAGTTCCTTATTTCTTATGCATATGTGCAATGGAATAAACTCCATAATATACCATCCATCAAGCTTCGTCCTATAAGGTTAGGCGTTGGAAGTGAGAGGTTTAAAATCTTGAAGAATTGGTCTCTTTTCTAGTGAAGCAGGTAATTTCGAGTTCAACTCCAAGGCCACCAGCCTGAATATCCCATTATCAAAGCTCAATTAGGAGGGTAAGTTCACTAAACAAGTTGAGCTTCAAATTTGATCTAAGGTGCTAACACTCAAAATAGAATTCAAATATGAAACCTCTTCCTCTGTAACATTTTTAGGCTCTGTTTTCAAGAACCAAGATGGTGTTGTAGACTAGCTCACAGAGATGCATTCGAGAGGGTGGCTTAAAGGCAATGCTAGAAGATTGCAGAAAGTATACCCAGTTCCTGGTCCATTTGGTTAGAGAGACAATGGGATTTTTAATAATGTTTGTTGAAGTCTTGATGGTTTTTGGCTAAATTGACAGCAGAAAGCTTCCACTTGGAGTGCCAAACGTAAGGATTTTCATAACTGCAGCTTTTTGGTTAGTGTAGGTTGGAGGGGAGTCTTTCTAGCCTTGTAGGCAAAGGATTCCTGTTCCCTCTGGCTTTTAAGCAGTATACGCTTTTTGGTTCAATGGTATTCTCTGTTTCTTATTTTCTAAACAACTATACCAGTACAACCTTTCAATGATTCAGGTTTTAGATAGAAAAGGGAGATACCATACACAAAGAATCCATGTTATCAGAAAATAGCTTCACGAGCAACATCAAAATCATGCAAAAGTTTTACTTGATGATGATACATTTAACCCTTGTCGAATGATTATTTTACATCAAAATCATGCAAAAGTTCACATTCTGAAGGCAATCATTCAACTTCGACAGAATTTAAAGCAAATCAAATAATATGACTAACCTGTCGGTTTAAATCTCGGGCCTTGTCAGCATATATGCGGGATTCAGATGTCAACCTACTTGACATTTGACTGACCTCTGCAAAATTAAAATAGTATAAAATTAGAAAGTTATCATCTTTGACACTGCTGAATCATGATTCTGCAAAACCCTTCAAGAAGGCCGTAGGGAAATTTATCTCTCCCAACATAAATTAATGTAATCCTGCTAACCATTTCAAATAGCAAAGATCCTCACACACCTAGAAACCGGGAACAATGTGATTTAGTTTGTAATAGTAGTTGAACAACTCACATTGTCAGAAAACAAAGGAACCATAATGCACTTACATTTTACTATAGGATAATACATGACCACACTTTAATAAAATTAGAAAATAAAAGGAAAAGGAAAATCTTACGGTCTAACTTTTCACCAACGCCAAGAACTTCCTGAACATTGCGAGTCATTATTTGGTGGACTTCGTAAAGTTCATCATTCAACTTTGCAATATTACGTTGAGTCCGTGTATCCTGGTACAGTTTCTTGGTCTTCTGTATGTAAGTATCTGTTCAACATAAAGGGGGTGGAGGTGGGAATCAAGGGCAAAAGGAAAGTAAATAAGCTTAAAGGTTTAAATTGCATATGAATTATTTATATAAATCCAAGGCATACCAAATTTAATGAACGCATAAGGCCTAGCAGCGGTTTCGATTTGAGCCCCATTAACACGTTCAAATTCATTCTTCAGGTCTTCAAGGTATTGAAAGGCAAGTTTCTTTGGATAAGCGCGATCGCACATAGTCAAATAACAGACCCTTCCTTCAATTATATAGCTAAAAACTCGTCAAGGTAAAATACCGTCTGTCAAGAACATAATTCTGAACTAACAATCTTCAAAACAGTTTAATGTGATAAACCATAATTTCCAAAGCCTTGACAAAAGACATGCATATGTTGATTGCTCTACACATTGAACTCAAGTGGTAAAGTCAAATAAGTTTTCATATTCAATATCAAACTCATTCGTCTGTAAAACCCAAAACTTTTTCAGCAAGCTACCGTCAAAATGACAGGATAAATTTAGTTTGTCCAGGCCCCAGAGTCAGTTTAACTATCATTCGTGTTTCTTTTCCACAACAAGGTTCAAACAGAAATAGGGATAACCTTATTTCCATTTTAGCCTCTCACATGCCACAACAAATCAGAATGGGGTGTAAACACTGAGTAAACAGCAAAGCTCTTACCTAATTTATTTAGTAAAATATACCCTATGACATTAAGGACATGCAGATACAAAAATTCAAAACACAGCAAACCAGACCGCCAATGAATACGATAAGTTAAATGCCAAAGGCCAATCACGTAAGGATACTGAAAAACATATGGGCCTGTCTCAACAGACATTCTTGAAGCCTCATTTTGACCTCTTGATAAGTTCTTAAACAGAGCCTTCGCTTGCTGCTTGTAGAATTCTGCATCTTGCATGTCACGGCCATCATCCAGTCCCTCTGCTAGAGGAAGACCATCAGTAACACGAGCAATCATTGTAAGCTTCACCATCTTCAGTTCGATCCGTCCCCCAACTAAGGATAAAATCATTGTACTATGTCAGCTACGATAACTTACAGAAGATGACAAACAAGCCGAGTCTGATCGGAGTGTTTCCATGTAGATAACTCAGCTAAGGATCAAGCATATAATAATGATAAGGTTCAAAATCATTGTAGAATTAGTAACTAGCAAAAAGAATTATCAATAAGGTAGTTTTCTTGAGACATTATTTGTTCCAAAATGAGTTCATATTCAAGATCGAAAAGGTCTTTATTTACAAATTCATCTTCTTAATTATCGTATTATCCATGTTCTAAAAATTAGTCGCACCCACAGTGGCCACAAGTTAAATACAACTCCTTAAAAA